GCATCTGAAACACTGGACCTCTTATTTTGGATCGTTTTTTTGTTTGTTTGTTTTTGTTTTTCCAGTGCCAGTAATGTCCTGTTTGTTTTATCTGCATTATTCTGGGGTTTTTGTTTTTTTTTAAGTTCCTCCTGATTTTTGCTTGCAGTGTCCTGTAATTCTTCCTGTGTGTCTTTCACCCATTGAAAATATTCAATCATTTTTCATTTAAGTTCTGTGTCAGAAAGTTCCATCAGACTTTCTGGATTCAGGACATTCATTGATACTATGTCACCTCTTGGGGGTGACATCATGCTTTACACTTTTGTAGGGTGTGAGTTAGCCTACTTCTTTCATGGCATTGCTGTGGTAGAGTTTTTCATGCCTGAGATGAAGATAGGTTCTTGATCTGAATACAATGCTCTAGAAATTGGTAGGGAAGCTACCCTACCTGTGTTTCTTTCTGAAATTCTGACTCAAGGGAAGGTTCAGTTCAGGGCCTATGAGAGCAACCTCTTGTAGCTAAGTCAGATCAAGATGCTCTGGATTAAATCCAATTTGATTGACTGGACATACAGGAATGGGTTTGGAGTGGGATGGGGGGTGGGGTACCATGGTGGGTGGTGTGGCCATGTGTGGCGACCTCAGGCAAATTTCAGCTTTCCAGGTGTGCTTATGCGTGGAGTCTATACTCAAATTTCAGCTCTCCATTTCCCACCCAGTGGCTCTTGTTCAGCAGCCCTTGCCCAGTGGCCATCAACCCAGGGGCTCTTTCCCAGCAGCTCCTGCCCCAGGGGGGCCCTTGGTCCAGTGGGACTTAGGGAAACTCAATCAAATTCCTACTGACCTGTTTGCTCCTGGCTGGTTGGTGGAGCTTAAGAAAACTCATTCAAATTCCCACAGATCTTTTTGCTCCTGGTGGGTTCGCAGGGCCCAAGAAAATGCAGTCAAATTCCACAGTCCTGCTCGCTCCTGGCAGAGCTTATGAAAACTCAGTCACATTCCCACAGACCTGCTTCCTTTTGGAGGATTGGTGGGGCCCAAGAAAACTCAGTTAAGTTCCTATAGACCTGCTTGCTTCTGGGGGGTCAGTGGGGACCAAGAAAACTCAGTCAATTTCCCACTGACCAGCTTCCTCCTAGTGGATGGGTCCTAGAGTGGCTTGGCTGGCAGCTTTCAGTGTGGCCCGTGGCTCACTGCTCCTGTGGCTCCCAAATTAATAATTTTAATAAAAGTTCTGACTAAAATTCCTACTGTCCACATGATGCTGTGTCTGTCTCTGTGTGTCACATCAGTCACTCTGGCTGCCCATTTCTATGCAGCGTGACGCTCCTCCAGCTCCTTAAGCTGTTTCCTCCAGCAGCGCCATCTTGGTTCTCCTAACTTTCTGGAGACTTATTTTTTGCCAATTCTTTCAAAGCAGCTTGAACTTCTTCCTTCATCACCATAGGCTCTTGCTCATATGTTGTTTCATGAAATTCTTCTGTGTCTGCCAATTCCTTTTGGTACAATGAGTCTATATACTCTTTCCATCATCTTTTAATACTTCCTGGATCATTTAATATTCTGCCCAAAGCATCCTAATTATTGCAACTCGAGGTTTGAATTTGTTCTTCAGTTCCTTGAGCTTATGAAATCCTGAGTGTGTTTGGCTCTTTTGATTTTCTGACTCCAGCTCCTTGCACATTTCATTATAATACTTTATTTTGTATTCCCATGCTGCCTTTTAAAAATAATTTTTTTAAAAAGAGTGAAATCATTAAGGAGATAATATGCTCACTGACAAGGACTAGGTGGGTGGCCAGACAGAGAGGAGAGTGCACTTAAGTTTCTGCATATAAATGTCATTACGTACAGTCAAGTTAGAACTGACTCATAGCTGACCTTCTAGTAGGTTTTCAGAGGCTATAAATGGTACTGGAGGAGACTGCCTATCTTTCTTCCAAAGAGAAGGTGGAGGATCCAAGCCACCTGCCTTTGGGTTGCCAGCACAGCTCCTTATCCATGACACCTTTAAGTTTCAGAGACCACCTGGAAGCAAAGGGGTAGAGACAGGTGGGAGAAGGGTAAGAATTGGGAGAAAGTGTGGGCTATCTGAGAGAAACCACTGTGGTGGGTGTAACCTGGGGTGGCTGTCAAAACAGGGCCAAATTCTGGCTGACAGGGGAAGCTGTGCTGTGGCCAACTGCCCTGTGTTGACAGGCAAGCAGCAATGAAAACTGCCTCATGTGTGGGAAATTTGTGGAGATGAAGAAAGAGAGGTCACTTTTCCATATCTGTGTGTATAGTACATATACAGCATCCATGAATTAGGGAGCTCTGGTGACCTGGTGAGTAAAGACATTGTATTGCTCCCGAGAAAAGATGGGCATTCTCCTCTCATGTGACTCACAGCCTCTAAAAGCATGCTGGGGGTCAGTTATGAGAAGACTTTGACCTGACGGCACACAAGAACAATGGCAACATACATGGACTAATTAGAACAAAACAAAATTAAGAGCTTAAACAAAGCAAAAAGCAGGAACTAGGTGACCAGGAACAATAGAGGAGCCCAGGGAAATATAAATTTAGAGCGGCAATGGGTAAAAAAGGGTCCCAGTTTCTCAAGTTCTATACAATAAAGGGGTAATGGCTCTGTATACTGACATGAGGATATGTGTCTTTCAGGTGCTCTCGTCATGACTTGTTTATATAGTTTTAAGGGAAAGCTTTTTAGCCCATCACCTTTTACCACCCCATTTAATCTTTTACCATCAGCATTGTCTAATATTATGAAATATTAGAGAAACAAAGATGTTTCTTGGAGTCATGTTCAAGTTCAGTCCATATATGTGTGTTGAGTTGAAATTTACCCTCCTTCTAATTGGCTTTTAGAGGCAGCAAATCACATGGGAGGAGATTGTTTTTCTGCATGTGTGTGCATGCATGCGTGGTGTATCAACTGTCCCACAACAAATTTATGAGGTAGTTGTATCATTACAAGCATTTTTTTAAAGACAACACAGTTAAAGCCCAGGAAGGTTAATAACATATTTGAGGTCTGTCAGCCTGGGAGTTCCAGGCTGTTTCCCGTCAAAGTCACAGAAAAGACATATTCTGCACAAGATCATCAAGCAGCAGAATCAAGGAAATACTAATTTCATTTCTGAGATGAGATGTGCACCTTGTGGTAATCTCAGTTTATGAATGTCAGCACTTGGTCACTGGGCCTTCCTGCCAAATAAGCTTAACTAGTTTAAGTGCACTTGTTTTAAAATTGTGAGGGGTGTGTGTGTGTGTGTAACAGAACATTTGCCAACTCAGCAATTTCTCCATATAAAATGTACATGTAATTTAGTGTGGATTTGGTCTTACAGTCATTCTGCTTAGATACCGGTTGAAGACAGGCCCATTTTATCCTTGAAAGCAATTTCTTGAGATGGAGCTCATACTTAGCAGTGCTACGAGGCTGCAAAAATAACTACACAGAAGGTCCTGGCCATGCTCCCTAAAGGAAGCTGGTGCTTAGAAGCAGGGCATGTCTATAAAGGGAGTGACCATTAGCACAAGAGTATGCTAGGCACACTCATCTGTGAGGACTCAAACAAAAACAAAAACCACCTCTGATCATAACATCCTAAGTTGATTTCATAGTCCACCATAGGTGTAACTGACTATGAAATTATTCTTTAGCTTGTGTCTACAAAAAAAGGAAAACAACTTGTAAAGGAATTGAATCAGCATACATAAACATTGGCATTATTTCCTTAAGTGAAAACCAGTTCTATTTTGTGAAGTATTTCAGGAGATGGAGGGAGGATGGAAGTGAGAAGGGAGGAAAGAGAAATGAACCATCTCTCTGTTCTTTGACCCTCTCAAAGATACCCAGCAGTCTCTATACATTCACAGGAAATGGCACTTCCTCAGAGGGTTTCCCTTTCCATGGAGAGGTAAATAATAAGAACTCTTTCCTTGTTCTAAGACAAGGCTATCTAAACTACAAGGGTTGAAATGAATGGAAAAATTAACAATATTACAAACAACAGAGGCTTAGATATTCCTCATTAGTTCTGGTGAAGCAGATTGTAGCCCTTTGGGATCGTGAGCAGAACTGACTTAATGGCCTGCAACAATAATGACAAGAACAATCTAAGTCTATTCCAGAAAACAAAAGAAAAGGAAGAAGAGGAGGGAGGGAGCCAACGTGATTGTGGTGTGTGCTCTGGCCCTAGGCATACATGCACCAGAGAGCTCACCATGTGGCTTTTGGAACACTCAGAGTCCTACACAGTCAAGTCAGGGTTTGCACCCAGGGTTCTCAGACTTCTACTATCTGTGCAAGCAACAAATCATATTCTGTTGCTGTAAGCTGTAAAGGACTATTTGCATTTCTTTGTTTATGCACAAAAATGTCCTACAAGTTTATTATTTCAAAGAAATAATCTATTATAAGCTCATTTTTTGTTGAAACTCTGTAATAGACTTACATATAAGATATATCTATCTCTATCTCTATCTCTAGCTATATATCGGGCACCCTGGTAGCCTACTTCTTAGGGAGTGGTGCTTAATATTCAAGAGGATAGTCCAAATCCATCAGTTGTAGGCAATCTGCTCTTGTTGCAGCTTCTGATAACCCACTGGAGGGTCAGCTATGCATTGGTTCTGACTTAACAGCATTGAGTTTGGGGTTTTATATATCTGTATCTTTAAGGGGGAAACAGTGAACAAAACCAACCAGTTGCCATTAATTCTACTCTAATTCATGTCAACCTCAGGCATTCTGGAGTGGAACTGTGCTTAGCAGGCATGCAAAAGCTGTGATCTTTTGAGAGTAGAGCACAGACCTTTATTCTATGGTGCCTCTGGGAGGATCTGAATTACTGACTCTCAGTAAGTAGCTGAATACATTACCTAAGTAATGGAGCTGACTTAATTGTAAAATCAACACATGATCCTTAATAACATCTTATAAGATTTGCACATGCTGCCAGTATAACCTGTGCAGAAGTTGTGCCTCAGTATCTTGACGAAGCCATTACCTGTGTACAGAAACGTGTTGGTGTGTCCTCCCACCACTACATCAACACCTCGCACTTTCTGAGCAATGAGTTTATCCATTTCAAAGCCAGAGTGTCCTAGGGCAATGATTTTGTTCACTCTAAGAGTTTTGAGCTTATCAACTTCAGGTTGCAGTGCAGTGATTTCATCTTCAAATTTGAGGTAACTTCCTAAGGAACAAATGAAATAAAATGGGCATTAATTAGCACCATTTAGAATTATGCAGCTTAAATATATTCCAATATACCAGTTATAAACCTTTAATTTACTAAAGCTCTTAAATGACTTGAACTATGAAATACTTACAAATTAAATGCAAAAGCCAAATAAAATTCCAATAAATACCATTGGTTACATTCACTTAATGTTGTTTTAATTCTACATTATGGATGGTATTATTTTGCCTGCATTCAATTTTGTATAATGAGGCTTCAGATCTAGATTTGTTTTTAATCTCATGCTATATATAGCTTTCCTGAAGCCAGTGCAGCAAACACCTGGGCACACGGCATGCTGTGCAGAGCCACACAGTGATGACAGCTGTAAGAGTCTGCAAGCTCAAGCTACTCAGTTTTCACACTTTAACAAAACTCAGACAGCAAGAAGTCCCTGAATATCAATGTTAACATGGTTGTTGATCACTTTGTCTTGGTCACTTCAAGATATTATCAGATGTCCAACAGACACATGAAGAAATGTTAAAAAACTCCAGCAATAAGAGAGATGCAAATCAAACCACAATGAGATGCCATCTCACTTCAGGAGCAGTGGCAAAGTTTAACAGCACAGCAAGTAATAAATGTTGGAGAAGATGTGGAGAGATAGGAACCCTTATACACTGTTGGTGAGACTGTAAAATAGTACAGCCACTCTGGAAGGCAGTTTGGCATTCCTCAAAAATCTGAACACAGAAATTCCATATGTATGATACAGCTATTCCACTCCTAGGAATACACCCCAAGGATTATAATTGAGGCACAAACAGAGAGCTGTACACCAGCATTCATAGTAGAATTATTCACCATCTCAAGAACATGGAAACAGTCCAAATGTTCAACCACAATTTAATAGATTGAGAAATTGTGATACATTCACACAATGAAATACTACATAGCATGCAGGAGCAATGATTTTGAAAATCACTACATAACTTGAGAGGGATTGGAGATCATTATGCTAAGTGAATTTAGTCCCATAAGGATAAATACTGTATAAGACTATTATTGTAGAAACAGAACAATAAATAATAAAATGTGTATGAGGATCCAAGGAGGAGCAGAGGAGTGAGGATGGGTGTGGAGGATAATCATAGGGTCACACAATTTGATGGGTGGATGGTGGGGTGGGTAAAGAAAATCGGAAAGATCCGGTGTGAAAAACAATATATACAACTTTGTAAGTAAACAAGTATAAAATAAAAATTTTATTTAAAAAAGTATAATGGTCTAATCTAGATCTACCTTAACCAGAAGTGTGAATATTCTTTTGTCTCAGTAGCGATATCACCAGTGGTGCTGGTGGCATGCATGTGTGGCTCAAGTGGCAGGACAAGCAGTTTCCCTCCATCTCTCCAGCCAATCCTGAGCAAGCCTGGGGGCCCCATGGCTTGGTGGTTGTTGTTATGTGCTGTTGAGTCACTTGAAACTCATAGCGACCTATGTAGAACAGCCCTAAACTCTGCTCTGTCCTGTGCCAATCGTACTGTCTCCAATACACCCATCCTGATTACCTCAGCCAGTGAATCAATCCACCGCATAGAGGGCCTTCCTCTCCTGCGCTGTCCCTCCACTCTACCAAGCATGATGTCCCTCTCCAAGGACCAGTCCCTCCTTACAACATGTCCAAAGTATGTCAGACGAAGCCTCAGAATCCTTGCCTCCAAGGAGCCACCCCATTTAACCCTTTCCAGGATGAATCTGTTTTTCTAGCAGTCCATGGTACACTCAGTACTCTTCTCCAGCACCATAGCTCAAAGGCATCAATTCTTCTGTCCTCCCTAGTCATTGTCCAACTCTCTGACGCATAACAAGTGATTGCAAAGACCATGGCCTGTATCAGATGCACCTTAGTCTCCAGAGAGACACCATTGCTCTTCAGTACTTTGGAGAGGTCCCTAACAGCAGACTTTCCCATCCCAATAAGTCTTTTAATTTCCTGGCTGCTGTTGCCAAGAGTGTTGACTGTGGAGCCAAGCAAACTAAAGCTGTGAACAATCTCAATCTCTTCACCATCCATCCTGATGCTGCCAATTGGTCCAGTGGTGAGAATCTGTCTTCTTGACATTGAGCCTCAATCCATATTGAAGGCTGCAGTCCTTGATCCTCTGCAGCAAGCGATTCAGGTCCTCCTCAGTTTCAGGAATCAGGCTTGGTAGTGACTGTAAACCCAGACAGAGATGTTGCCCTGCTCTCTTGTCCTGCGCCTGGCTACAGGGGAGGCCGCCATATAGTTCTTAGGCTAATTTCTAAAGAGCATCATTAAAATAAATACACATATCTTAAATTCATAATTTCTCATCCAGAACTTTCAAATACCCAGGAATCTGTAAACTCTGTTGGAAAGTATTCATCTCTCCAAAGAGCAGTAAAACTTAAGAATGCATTCCTTGTTAACACTATGATGTGTGGGTTCCACTCTTCCTTCAACTTCCTGGGACTGCTAATCAGTTCAAAACTATGGAGAGGCACCTCAGGAAACAGGCCTGGTGATCTCACCAGGAGTTCATGGCCATGGACACCCTGTGGAGCCGGTCTACTCTGTTCATGTGCAGCTGCCAGGATCAACCTGATGATAACTAATGATATTTGTGTCATGGGTATTGTGAGGCACCTAAATGCAGCCAACTTGGCAAATGGACATTATCAGGGAAGATAATATAACTAACCTTCTAGCCAGGGAAACTCCAGATTGAGGGCCTGAAAATTAACAGTTCACATATGTTTTGTGTTGAGCAGAAGTGTTTCCAGTTAATTGCAAGCAATATCTAAAAATCAAGAGTTATGACAGATTTACTGCTATGGTTGACTTTGGGAGCATCAAGAATAATGTGACTCAGCACCATGTCACACTTTCTCCCACATGTCACCACGTGAACCTTTCACTCTGCCTGTTCCCAGAGGGTGTCTCTGCTTCTCAACTACACTTGCCATTCCTCTCTCTGGCTTCATTTTTCTCCATAGCACTTACCTCCATCTCATTTATTATTCTCCTATTAAAAATGTTAAGTGCCAGAGGCTGGGGATTGCTGCTTGTTTTGTTGATTTTTTTTTCTTTGATCAGTACTGTGAGTGCCTTGGAATGAGATACTCTTCTGGGAAGGGGAGAGGATCAGCGAGGAAAGACTCTCTGAGAAGGCCTGACCTCATGACTACCACAATGAACTAGAGCATGAGTATGATGTAGAGAGGGCAAGGTTCAGATCTGTGGTTTGTAGGTCGCTATGAAATGTAGTTAACTCGAGAGTATCTAACAACAACAACATTCCTGGTGCCTAGAGGAGTGCCAGCTATGAGAACAGGCACTAATGGAATGGTTGAATGACAGGAATTGTAAGACCTCCACATAATGCTGCCCTCTTTTTTCACTCTTGTTTGGCTGGCAAGAGAAAGAGGGGGAAAAAACCCCCAAAAAACTCACAACCTAAAACACAGAGAAATACCTCCAAGGTCAAAGGAATGCATTCTCAGACACATTAGAAACATCCAGGGCAAAGTATCACATACATGGAAAGCCTTGGAATGGATTCCATGGTGTCATAAGGGGAGTTTTATCCAGAAGTTTTATTATGTAGCTTAAAAAAAAAAATCCAAGGTGCTAGAAATACAATTTACAGCAGTGGGACCTCAGACTCAAGGAGCCAGGCTTCCGAAAGTCAGAGATTGGTGGTAGGAAGAGCTTATGCTGGGCTGCAGAGCCTTGGCCTTAGAAGAGGGAAGTGTCCCACCCAACCCAGACTCAGCCCACATTAATCACTATGCAATACAGCCCATGAACTCCTGGACAGCAGTCAGCGCCCCAGTTCCCGTGTGACCGCACCTCGGGCTGCTCTAATAGTGACTAGTAAGGAGTGTTCCCAGAATCCCAGCCAGGGGAACCTGAATTCCAAAGTCGCTGTGTCTCTCCAACAGCCCACCTCCCTTGCCTCCAACCTTAGTGTTTTTAACCAAGGGGTGAAGCTTTTCTCTAAATCAAGCCTGGGCTCCTCAGGAGGCCATACAATGTCCTAACACTACTCTTGAGCTTTCCATACTCACAGTCTATGTGCCCATCCCCTCCCCCCGCCATGTTCTGAATTTCCTTATTCATTCTGTTGGCATGTGCTGGGTACTGTGGACAGCTGGGAAGTCAGCAAGCAAGAGAGTCAAGGTCCCCACATTACTTTCTAGTATGTGACTTTGGGCTTCCCTCTGGAATGTCCTTTGTCCCAAGTACTTTACAAATTTACTGAGGAGACCACGGAGGCCCTTCATCATGTCTCCCTGATCTCTAGAACCCAATCACTCCTCTCACTCAACCCCTCCAACCCATCCTTAAACTCCCTCGTCTAATTCTAGATGTCCTTTATGACTCTCTTACAGCATTCAGTCACATTCACTCTTAAATAAACGAAAACAAAACAAAACAACAACAAAAACAAGCAAATAAATGATGCAGACACAGTTTGCTTTTGAATATGCTCTCTAGTAAGCAATTTCTTAGGTTTTCCAACAAGCGCACATCTTTATTCAAAGATCTTAAAGGCGGCCTCTTTATTAGGCTTCAGATGTTCAGTGAGGAGAGAACCAGGCTCTCATTTCAGTCTGCTCAGACTGGCATGAGAAATGGAGAGTAAGTCACAACTGTTACACACCAGTGTGGCCATGCTCAGGGGGATATGTGAGCTGGTGACTCAGAGCAGAAGTGCCCGACTCCCAGAGATGCAGATGGCACAGGGGGCAGACTGGGCAGTGGCGCTCTCCAGCCCTCTCCACGTCAGCACCTGGCTTGTCATACTTTGCAGATGAACTCAGGTATCCTGTTTGTCCCTGGGAAGGCCTGACCGGCCAGAGCTCTGTGCATCTTCAGAAGGAGGAAGAAGGAACACAGTCAGGCTGGATGGGTTTAAGACAGCCAGCCTTGACTTCCAAGCCAAGTCCTTCTCATGGAAGGGTCTTTATACACCACTTTTAGTCAGGAAGGACTTTCAAAGGTAGCAGATGCCCACAACACACTCTGTCTGTAACCATCCCAATTATGACTGCTATTAACAACTGTGCTGCACAGTCTAGAAGCGCGGTCACCTATGGGGCAGCTATCTATCTAGCACCTCAGCACTGATGATGCCCCTCCACTGTGAAGAGCAGAAAGGCCCCACCCTGTCCCCATGTCTGCCTGCTTCCTTTCCAACAGCTGATCTTTCTGTTGTCTCTGATGGCTTCACCCCATTTTAACAACAATCAATAGAATGGTTTTCTAGTTGGTAAAATAGCATTAATTAATTAGCTAATTAATTAATGTAAATGAATTCTTAATATAAATTCTTATTTCTGCATAATGATATCTTCATTGTTTCTTTAAATATGGAAAGATTAAAAAATTTGGATAAGTAATTTTCCCAAATAAGAAACTAGTTTTGGTCCTCACTGTCAACTTGTTTCAGCAAGTTGCTCCTGCATCCTGACTGTGGTCCTTTTTCCCATTCTGAACGCGCAGGGCTCTAGCTGGAACAACTTCCCGAGAGGCTAGAGAATGTCTCTGGGTTCATGGGCAAAGTGTGGAACTGGCCTCCTGGTAAACCAATAAACCAATGTCTTGCATGGTTTTATGATTATATATGTACAGTTGTCAGGTACCATCTAATTGATTTTGACTCTCAACTATCTAATGCGAATGAGCAGAATTGGCCCATAGGGTTTCCAAGGCTAAAATCTTTAGGGAAGTAGATATTTTGCCCTAAGGAGCAGCTGATGGATTTGAATTTTGGACCTTTTAATTCACAGTCAACTGCCTAACTGTTGTGCCATATACCTATACACATACATGTAAGAATATATACATATTTCCTACAAAGTTCTTAAGATACAAGAAAGCCATAAAAACTACAAGCAATAAATAGTTGAAAAATAAAGGACCATTAACCAGAGCACGTAATGATTTGTTGTTGTTGCTGTGTATGTCAAGTTAGAACCAGCCCATAGCTGACCCTCTGGTGGGTTTTCAGAGGCAGTTAATTGCACGGGAGGAGACTGCCCATCCTTCTCCCACAGAGCAGCTGGTGAATTTGAACTGGGTGCCTTTGGGACTGCAGCACAGCTTCTTGCCACTAGGCCACCAGAGCTCCCTTATGTAATGATTATTGTTGCTGTTCAGTATGGTTGAGTCGGAAGCAACCCACAGCTGACCCTCAAGCAGGTTTTCAGAGGTAGTAAATCACAGGAGGAGACTCATCCTTTTCCTGCAGAGCAGCTGGTGAATCTGAACTGTCTGCCTTCGGAGTGCAGCACAATTTCTTATCATTAGGCTATCAGAGCTCCCCTATATAATGATTAGACTAGAAAATAAAGGAGAAGGAAAATAACTCTAAGAGAGTTTAAGACTCTAGCTTGGGAGTTGTGGCTCTACAGGAAGACTCATTCTCCAGTGTTGTTTAACATTGGATATAAACTGTTTTCACTGACAATTCAAAACACAGTCACACTGAAGAACAACAATAGATATTCACTAAGTATAAGACAAAGACCTAGAAGAAGCAAGGAACCCATTAGATGGATTTTTACCAATGCCATCTGAAGCACGCTCTTTCTCCAGCAACACGTTTGTTATTCCTACTTCTATCTACAGTCAATAAAATAATGCCAAGCTCTATTTCCATTTTCAAGACTAAGTGTTTCATAGTGCTGTTATATTTAGAAAATACCTGGGTTTGAGAGAAAAGGAGTTTCTCTTGAAGTGTACCCAACAATTCCCACAGCTTCACCTCCAACTTTAAGAATTTTAGATGGAAGATAGAGTCCAGATATTTGAGATGCTAGTGGTTCCTTTGCTTTAATATTAGCACTCAGAATTGGAAAGTTGACACTTTTGAGGAGTGGATCCATCAGTCCTTCAACACCATTATCAAATTCATGATTCCCCAGGGCCTAGTAGAAAGGAAAATGAGAAAAAGTATTAAGAACTCTGAGATTTCTAAGGAAAGCGTACTCTGAATGGTATGACATAAGCTCATGATTCCCAAGTGAGGAAAAGCTCCGTGAAACAGAGATTCCATGGTCTCATGTCCATCTCTGCCTCATTCCTACCTCCCCCTCACTCCCACCTCTGCCTCATTCCCATCTCTCCCTCATCCCCATCTCCTGATCATTCCCACCTCCACCTCATTCCCACCTCCCTCTAATTCCCAAAGATTTTATTCAGTGGCCCTAGAGTGGGCCTAGCAACATTTTGATTATCAGGCTGGTTTGAAAACTTTGCCTGAAGCCAAACACCACCTATATGAGGGTGGTCTCAACATGTTTGAACACTTTCTGGAGAGCTGGTTCACTATTCACTGTCCTGCCAACCGTAGGCCTCTGTTAGTTGGGTTGGGCTGGATTCAAGAGTCTGTATTGGCCAGGCTCCTTTCAGTCTTATATCCTGTTTTCTCTCTAAAATTCACATCATATGAACTATAAAACCATTACATTTTAAGCAAAAGGCAACACAAAAAAATAATTGGTAATGCCATGTCAGATAAGGGACTTACATCTAGAATTTATAAAATACTCAAGCACCACAATCGGATAAAGGTAAACAACCCAACCGAAAAATGAGCACAGACACTTCACCAAAAACAACATTCAGATGGCAAATAAACACATGAAGAAATGTTCAAAATTCCTAGCTCTAAGAGAGATGCAAATCAAAACAAGTATGAGATATCTCACCCCAGTAAGAATAGCAAAATTTAACAGAACAGCAAACAACAAATGCTGGCGAGGTTGTGGAGAAACTGGAACCCTTATTCACTGTTGGTGGAAGTGTAAAATGGTGCAACCACTATGGAAGGCTGTATGGTGCTTTCTCAAAAAGTTGAAAATAGAGATACCATTTGACCCAGCAATTCCACTACTGGGAATATACCCTAAAGAAACCGTAACTGTCACCCAAGCAGATATATGCACACCAGTGTTTACTGTGGCTTTGTTCACAATAGCAAATAACTGGAAACAACCCACGTGCCCATCAACAAATAGATGGATAGGGAAAGTGTGTATATTCACACAATGGAATACTATGCTGCATTGATAAACAAGGAACTCACAAAATATTATACAAAATGGGTAACCATGAAGAATATTATGGTGAGTGAAATATCTCAGTCACAAAAAGACAAATACTGTGTAATGCCACTTGTGCTGTCAGGGACCTCTCCAGAGTGTTAAAGAGCAAAGATGCCTAAGATGTGCCTGACCCAGGCCATGATCTTTGCAATTAATTACTTGCTATGTATGCATCAGAGGGCTGGATGGTGATTAAGGGTGACAGAAATGAAATTGATGTCTTTGTGCTGTGGTGAAGAAGAGTATTGAAAATACACCATGGACGTGACGACAACAAAAAGGTCTGTACTGGAGAGATGAAACCAAGTTGGTCCTTGGAGACAAAGATTTTGACATACTTTGGTGATGCTGGTAAGAGTTATCAGTCCTTGGAGCAGGACATTATGCTCAGAAAGGTGGAGGTGGGACAGTGTTGGACAGGGAGATGCTGGATGAGATGGAATGACACAGTAACTGGGGTAACAGGGGTAAGTGTGTTGGAGGTCATGAGACTGGCACAGGATAGGACAGGATTCAGAGGTATTGTGCTTAGGGTCTCTATGAATCACAGGCACCACAACTCAAAGATGTCAGTTCTTTTCCTATCATCCTTAGTCATTATTCAGCGCTCTGATGCACAGTAAGTAATTGCAAAGACCATGGACTAGATCAGGTGCACCTTAGTCTCTAGAATGACATCATTGCTTCTCAGTACTCTGGAAAGGTCCCTGACACCAGATTTACCTAATGCAATTTGTCTTTTGATTTCCTGACTGCTGGTGCCAAGAATGTTGATTGTGGAGTCTAACAAGCTGTGATTGTTAACAACCTCAGTCTCTTCTCCATCTATCATGGTGTCAATTGGCCCAGTGTTGAGAATCTTTGTCTTCTTGATGTTCAGCTTCATTCCATATTGAAGACCACAGTCTTTGACCTTCTGCAGCAAGTGCTTCAGATCCTACTCAGTTTCAGCAAGCAAGGCTGTATCATCGGCATAATGTAGTTTGTGGATGAGTTTTCTTCCAGTCTTGATGCTACATTCCTCCTCATAAATCCCAGCTTCCTGAATGACTGGACGAGATCCATATTTATTCCCATTCAAAAATATGGTGACCTAACAGAGTGTGGAAACTATTGTACAATATCACTCATATCACCCAAAAGTAAAATCCTGAAGATTATCCAGAAATGACTGGAACGGTACATTGACAGAGAACTATCAGAAATACAAGCTGGGTTTAGAAGAGGCTGTGGCACTAGAGAAATTATTGCCAATGTCAGATAGATCTTGGCAGAAAGCAAAGAGTACCAGAGGGATATCTATATCTGTGTTTCATTGAGTATGAAAAGGCATTTGACTGTGTGTATCACAACACATTGTGGTTAACCTTGAAGAGAATGGGAGTCCCAGAACATTTGATTGTGCCTATGTGAAACCTATACGTGGACCAGGAAGCATTCCTCAGAACAGAGCAAGGAAACATTGCGTGGTCCAAAATCAGGAAGGAAGTGCGTCAGGGATGTATCTTGTCTCCATACCTTTTCAAACTATATGCAGAACGTGAAGGTACAGGGTTCAAATCCTCCAGCTACTCTGTTGGAGAAAAATGGGCACTCTCACGTGATTTACTGCCACTGAAAACTCACTGGTGTGTCAGGCATTTGTCAGTTTTTAAAAAAAAACTAAATTTAATAAACATTTACAGAGATTTTGGATTTCCATTCATTCATTGCTGCACTTCTCTCCCCGTCCAGCACACCCCCCCACCCCCCAGTTGGCTCCTCTCTTTTAAAAGAAACACAACCTCCCTGGTACACAACCCCCCCACATCCCTCCCACCACCCCAAGTACATTCCACTATGCAACCTTAATTGTGGACTCTTGTGATAACTATAATACCCTATCATGCATCGCTTTTAAATTATTCACTCCCTCATCTGTTTCAGTGCAGTATACACAATTTATCCAGTTTTTCTCAGTCTTACCCCAACCCTGATATCAGTCCCATTTTACAGCAGTGGCACCATTCAACATTTGTCCTTTTGCGACTGAGATATTTCACTCAGCATAATGTCCTCCAGGCTCAGCCATTTTGAATAATATTGCACGAGTTCCTTGTTTTTCAATGCAGCGTAGTATTCCATTGTGTGGATATAACACAGCTTCTCTATACATTTGTTTATTGATGGGCATTTGTCAGTTTTGACTTGATAGTACTCAACAACAACAATTTTATTATTAAATTTCCTCATATTCACATGAAAGTTTAGACAGTGACTAAGGAAGATCAAAGAACGGATGACTGAGTTACAATGTACGCATAGAAATATGAAATATACCATGGACTACTAGAAAACAAACAAGTGTGCCTAGAATACTCCTTAGAAAAAAGGAAGATGAGATTTTGTCTCACATACTTTGGACCTGTTATGACAAGGAGCCAGTTCCTGGAGAAAGGCATCAGGCTTGCTATTATAGAGGGTCAGTGTGAATGAGGAAGATCCTTGAAGAGATGGACTCACACAGTGGCTCTAACAGTGGGTTAGAACACAGCAACAGCTGAGACACAGGACAGAGAAGAACAGCCCCACAGGACTCCCAAGGCTGTAAATCTTCATGTGTGGAGGCAACTTCATTCTTTTTGCACAGAGTGACTTGTGGATTTGAATGGCTGACCTTTTTGAGCCAGCAGCATAATGCTTACTTCAGTGCATTACCATGACTCTGAAAGGGAAATTGTTGCTGTTAAGTGTCATCAAGTATAACTCATACTAAAAAAAATAAAAAAAATAAAAAAAAAAAAGTATAACTCATACTGGTCCTGTGAACATCAGATCTGAACCCTGTCCTATCCTGTGCCATTCTCATCATCTCTGCCACACTAGAGCTCACTGTTATCTGAAACCAATTTCAGTGTGTCCAACACACCTACTCTCATTACCCTTGTCACTGAGTCAATCCATCTCATCTAGGGTCTTCCTCTCCTGCACAGTCCTCTCCACCATTTTACGCATAATGTCCCTCTCTAAGGATTGGTCCCTCCTGGCAACATGCCCAAAGTATGTGAGACAGAGCTTCAAAATCTTTGCCTCCAGAGAGTAGCCTGGTTTCATCCTCTCCCAGACAGGCCTGTTTGTTCTCTTAGCAGTCCATTATATATTCAATACTCTTCTCCAGCACAACAATGCAAACACATCAATTCTTCTATCATCCTTAGTCACTGTCGATCTTTCTGAAGCATAACAAGTGCTATAAAAGCCCAGTGGTTTGGGGAAACCCTCTGTTGACTAAGCATAAGGCCTGAACATTTTTTAGGTCCAGAGAATGAAGATATTCAAGGGCTACTGAGTTCAATTTCTGGTTTTGATCATTAAAAATACTCTGCAGAGAAGAAAAACCAACACTCTGTGGAAACAAGGTATGATTCTGTACCTGGTATGTAATGTACAAATTACAAATATGTAACTTCTTAAAGGCAAAAGACCATGCTCTCTTTGAGGATATGCCATTTCCTTAATCAGAACAAATATCAAGCAATTATGAGATACTTAAATACCTATTTATTTATTTCCACTGGACTGCATGCTTAATGTTGTTGTTATGTGCCGTCGAGTGGTTTGCGACTCATAGCCACCGTATCCCTCTTTGCAACATGTCCAAAGTATGTCAGACGAAGCCCCAGAATCCTTGCCTCCAAAGAGTTGCTTGGTTTAATCCTCTCCAGGATGAAT